TTTTCTTCGAGTATTAAAAAGATCCTTTAAAAAAAGTCTTTTGAAGCGGCTAAACAAACAAGCAGTATTGATAGACAAGAAAGAACCTGTGTTAGCTTTTCGTTTTTGCAGCCATGTGCCAGAACTGTGGTACGATTCATTACTTTTAACACATTTTCCCGTCACATATTCATGTTGAATACACGAAGTACAAGGATAGGCTTGGGATTACCTGAGTTTGTTCAAAATATGAAAACGTATCAGTTGTTCCGCTTGTGTTGGCTTCAATAAGGGAATAATCGCTGTCAGCAGTGTTTTAAGAAAATGTAAATTACATTATCAAATGAAATTTTTATGTTTTGTGACATGAAACAGTTCCGTTTCGCAATCAGTTCAGCATCTTCATGATTTGCAGTAATTCGTTTCAAAACACGAAGAACGAGTGGTAGGCTATCCACCCATGTTAGGACGATAGTTGCTATTATGGCTCAGTTCATGTAAGATTTTAATGACTGAACCAGTCGTTTCGTTCGTTCTTCCCTTATATTTGTTCAGCGGGCTTTTTACTGGCTTTCTTCCAATCTTAATGGCACACTTACCGCATTAGTCGAACTCGCAGTCTGTCTCTATCATGTCTGCTTGCGTTTGCCTCCTGGTCCCTAACCCGATGTTAGTATTGATTGCAGCGGAACGAGGAGATATAGAAGTCTGCAAGGCTGACAGTAATTAATTGCAAGCAGGTTGGCAGGCGCCGTAAAGATATAACACGGCTGAATGAGTTTATCTTCTCCTGAGGGCAGCAGGTGTTGCAAAATTAATCACCTCTCCTACGTTAAGCTTTATCAACAATGGAAATTAATTCTACTTCTTCAACTGAATTGTTAATTCGTCAGGGCATGATAGTAATATATGTAAGTAATTAAGACTTATTCGCTCGTCGGAGCTATTTGAACAACAAAAACTCGCAGAATTTACTTGGTATCAGTTTTTTTGGCAAAAAAGGAAAACCCTTTTTAGTCTGACAAGTTACATTCAAGAAAATTAGGGGTATTTTGCGACAGATAAATGAAAATACATAGGAAATAAAAACTTGGGAGATTCAGTGACTCCACACATCCGGTAAGAAATCCTCGAGATGACTGGGTTTTGTAATGTCCTTTATTTCTCTCATGAAAAAGATGACTCCATTTGGTCACGATTACGTATGACTGACGTATCGACGACACGAAATTCGAAAACAAATTCGAATAGATTTTTTGGGACATTTTACCTGTATTTTTCAAAATGAATAGGCCTAACAGACTTGCCTCTGGCTCAATAATAAATGGTTTGATTTGTTTAGGGATGAGAAAAAAGGTTGGTAAAATGTCCGGAAATCTATTGCTATAATTTTTAAACGAAATTTTTAATGGCATCATGCAATGTCAATTTCGTGCTGAAAATTCACCAATTTTTTTTTTTTTTTTCCATTCGAGTATTTCTGTTTGACCTGTTTGAGATCTGCTGTTTGGCTGCAGCCACATTAGCGGATTGATATCAGTTGTTATTATTTCGCTGCTCGTGCTAAAGTGTTAATTGTTTCCCTGAGGGTTCAAGTAATGCGTGGGATTTGGTGTAAAAATAACTTATGTCATAACCGTGTCTGCAATGCCGCGACTTCGATTGCGAATGGGATTACAGATTATCTTACTTTAATAGTTAGTTTCTATATTGTGAACTGCCGCAACGAAACCCATGAGTACCTGGCGTCTTCCCGTCCGTCGTTGCTGTAAAGAGGCGCCGATGGGGAGAGACTAAGTTGACAACCTCCACGGTCTCCAGGGCTTTTCGCCGTGGGTAAGTCAGGAGGTTTAAAACTAAGTTGATGTTTTACAATATCAATCTTCACCATGTAAACGTCACTAGTTTCAGTGGAATTTCTTTTTTTAGTAAATGTAAGTCAATCTAGAACTATACTGAAAATGTGATTTTACTCTTGCATGCTTCATCTCACACACTGGATATGCAGAGGAAGACTTGTTCTTAAGATCTGGAGATTATGGAATTTAGGTTGTTGGCGTAAACTTTCCTTGGTGACCTAACTAGACGCGAATGATTAATCTCTCCCTGTATGGTTCAGGACTGCCAAGACTGAACTAGTCTAATGATGAGCTTCGTTCATAATCTTGAACTGGCATTCAAAATATATTTGAAAATTTAAAAATAGCCTTCTACCTCTTCCATCGAAGTGTTGCCATTCTACTCCGGGAAGTGTCGTGCCGGGCGCATGTACGAAGTAGCGTCGTTATCACAGTTTTGTCTACGTGTAGCGGCACCCTCCCCTCGACAAAGAAAAAACGGAGAGAGGGGGCTACCTCTGTTCGTTTTTCAAATGTCGGGGCGGGGGGAGGGGGTGCGGCTACACGTAGTTAATCACAGTTTTAAAGGGCCTCTGAATAAGAAATGCACCCTGGGTGCCCAGAGTGCCAGAGACGTTTCTAACGCGGTTTCCGGTTTCTGTCAAGTCTTTATATATAGTGACCCGCGTGAAATGTTTTTCTCGCGGCTTCGGCCCACGGCCGAAGATGTGTCGGCCTTTGGCCGAAACCGAAAATTTCCGCCGCGCGCGAGAAAATCCTCTGGTACCCAGGGTATTACAAATGCATTGCGCGAAGAGATTGTGAACAACCACCGTTGTCAATGCGACTGACCTCCAGTTTCTCTGTCATGAAGCCCCTATACATTACAGCCTCATAAGGCTTCTGGTCCCGTGTCTCTATGTCCCTAGCAGTCTTTGTCAAAGTGCATCAACGAGAATTGCCCGTTGGTTACCGCCGTTCTAGTGGCCATCCTGCGGCTACTACTTAGTTGGCTCATGTTTTCCTCTGTGGTACTCTCCTAGCCCCGATTTTAATCTCTCTAATGTGCACTAGATACCTACAGCTATAAAAATGCATGTGCGGGTAGCATTCAAACCAAAGGTTAGAGTGAAAGATAATCATATCGCTTAGGGTTGTGGGGAAAGGAGGTGAACAAAGAAAACCAAGCGATGTCGTTCTATGTTGAATGCAGGATTCAATTTTAACACCTTTGTGCATTTAAATCACTACAGCTCTTCATAGCTGCGGAAATTGATTGCTTGTCTTAGCAGGGTCTCTTTTAGAGGTCAAATAAAGCCTGAACAACGCCCAGATTGGTTTAATTCTATTTTTTTCCGAAAATGATCCCTTTATCTACCCTACGAGAGTCACTCGGGCCCCACGGACTACGCCCCCTCAGATAGAAAATATGGGTAAAGATATAAGAAGGATGATACCGAGATGGACAGAGACGTGTAAGAAATGAACCAAAACATACCTAAGAAATGAAAAAATTCCTTGCTAACTACTCCAGGTTGATGGCATGAGAGTTTAGGTCATAAAAGGCAGTGGGAAGAGGGTAAATGGATACGTACTATAAGCTGTTCGTAGGAATATTGCCATGATGGCCAAAGATCTGGACAAGGCGGTATATTCCGCTAAATTTTTGGCTAATTTTTACTTTGATCTCTTGTTTCTATTAAAAAGGGTCTAAGGACTTGCGTGCATTTGGAACATTATTTGTTTGAAAAAACAAGTTGGGCAAAGCGACTATCAGTCGGGACCACGCCGTATTTGATTAGTAAGTTCAAGTTACAAAAAAGCAGAACTCTAACAACGGTCTTTATATTTTATTTTTAGTAATGGATTACTGACACAGGAAGTTCTATGACTATTTTACCTCTTTTAAGTAAAGTGAATCGGAGAGTCAATGATTAAATACTTTTTTGGAAAAAGAAAGAAGCTGTCTGATAATGCTCCTAAAGTAGTTTGTATATTGCATAGCCTTGTATTTTTAACCGGCTATGATTATGCAGACGAAATCTTTGGACTTCGTTAGGATAATTCTTGTATCTTTAAGTGGCTATGGCTATGCAGACGACACGTTTACTGGTCTGTCTGAGGTGAATGCACATCGGGCGGCATATGTGCTAAAAAATATGTCGCTCTTAAAAGATTGGAATTAACATACTAAATATTTACTGCTTAACCAACCTTATGACAAATATATATTCGTATATACATGAATTACATTTCTTTACAGTACTTAACAGTAAAAGCAGGATAAATCAAATAGGTGAACGAAGTGAAAGTGTTATCATTGAGGTTTGTACTGCAGGTTTTCAGTTCGTTGTAAAGAAGCTCGATAAGAGGTGAGTTTTCAATTCCAGCAGATAGAGACCAGCAGCTGAACCACTTCATTTGGTTTTAAAATTCAAACTAGTTTGCGAGAACTCAATTAGCGGAAGTCATATCGACTTTTCCTGTGAAAATCAATGGGATGACGGCTGACGTTCTCTTTTAAAAGGCTATACTTAAACCTATATCATAAATCGTTTTTACATGACGTCACGGCGGCTATATTGATATACAAAACAGTGAATGGCGGCCATGTTGATGTACCAAGAAACTCCAATGGGGATTAAACTCTTTTCTCGTTTCTTTCCTTTGTTTCAAGAATTTGTATAGCTGCTGATCACGAGAGTGAGCATGCTATTTAATAACAAAAAAAAGGCCTTTTCCGAGCTGAGTTGCCTCAAGCCTTTGGTTTAAAGCGAGGCTTATTGCGACGCCATTGAAAATTATAATTTTTATTCTCATGCAAATAAAACTCATTTTCAATCAAGAAAGTTTTTCCGCTAAGCCTTGTTTTGAAAGTGGGAGTTTGGAACTCGGAAATGACTTTTTTTCGAGTTGTGAAGCGCCTGGGGTACAAATTACAGTAGCGGCTTTCACGATTTTTGATACCGTGTTGGCTTATAACAAAATGTTTAGTACATATGTGACATTATTCATCAAATTTGAAACTAAAGTTTGCATTGATTTCAAATTGGCTGGATTTTAAAATAAGAGCTACAAGATTTGTTGTGTAGTAAGAAACTATTATTTTCTTTCGACGGTTGATGGGGAATAGGGTGACTTCAGTCTTTCAAATACACTTTTGTTTCCTTTCGTGAAGTTGTACTAGCACTCTAGTTCAGACTTTGTAGCTGTGATCAGTTTCTTTTGTCGAAAATGACACCACAGGAAACCCACTGCAGTGGTAACAGTCCACGTGACCAGCACGCCTAGGAATACACTGAGCGGTACTTGAGTTTCTTGAGAAGACAGTGGCGACAATTTTGTCCCTGAAGGGAAAAAATCATTAGGGCCTCGTTATTTTTAGTCTTTTTTTGTAGAAAGCTGGTACAATGGTTAAGATTTTAGGAATGTGAATGCGAAAACATGTGCCGTTTTGTAAAATATTTGCCAAGAAACTACGGTCCTGCGTGGGTTCACTTTTTTCGGATGTATCAACTAGTGAGATATATACCACTTAAGGGTTGCAACTCCTTATGGATTCAAAAGGTAAAGCTGCGAATAAGGGAATTAAACGATAGTTCGCCCCCATGTAAGGGAATACGTATTTCGGGAAAATTTTGCTTGTGGAATGGTGAATTCAGAGCTTTTGGAATGTGGAATACAGCTCAAGGTTCCCGGAATCCCACTTGTTATTGGAATTCAGAATCTAAGTTCTGCTAACAAAGAATCCGGAATCCAGTACCTGGGATCCGAAATCCACAGTGTGGAATCTAGAATTCAAGATTGTCTTCCCTTACATCGGCGAGATAGCCCTCATCTTACAGGTTTAGTAGTGTGGTGTTATGTGACTGTTTTATCTACAGCATTGAAATAATGCTATTAACAGGAACCAAGAATTTATAATTTAATTAAGAAGGGTTCAATGTTTTCTTGGGAAGTGAGAATGTCCAGTTAAACTGAGGTGAAATGTTGACCTGGTTTTACGAGTTTCTTTGCTCCTGTAGATGCAGCTGCGAATGCCCTGCGGGGGCCGCCCAGACGCGAATGACCACCAATTTTCTGTTTAACTTGCTTTCTGTGCAAGGTTTCCAAAAAGTAAAAGTTAAACATCGGAGAACATTTGCAGTCACCTAAATTTTTGCTGTCGTTAGTGCTTTAAAGTGCTGCTACGATCAAATTGTTGGATACCTTTTTCCTTTTTTGGGCTATATTGGTAGCTAAGTACTTAAAGTACATGGTGTTCAAAATATAGCTTTATATGATTAAGGAAAGTGGTACTTATTTGCCCTCAAGCATCATTAATTCACGTCCGCTATGAAAATGCCACTTTGCTGCGGCCTTGTCACCAAGAAAACAGGACAAAAAGTCCGTGACGTCATATTCTCAAGTCATAATCCATTATGGCAAACATTTCTTCAGCTGGCTTACCTTTGGAGGGTATTGTTTTCGTGTCAACTGCGTGGTCCCCATCGAGAAAGCGTTTTCCAGGGTCTGCTGTCGTGTAAGAAGGCCGATCTGTTATAACAACAACAGTAATTATTGTTATTATACATCGTACTCACTATCTGTCTTCTCAATGGCTAAGAGCCTACAGCTAAGTTTGGAAATCAGCGCAACCTACAGATTAGTTAGTTATCTGCTATCATCTGTCGGTTGCGCGCGCAATGCATGATTTCCAATAACAATATCGGTAAGTGCTATCAGCCTCGGCCTTCGGCGCGGCTGATAACACTTACGTCGAACTTGATTATTCCGGATATCACAAAAACCTCATCCAATAATTGTTTATTATATAGCTGGAAATTTTTCTCAACATCGCGCGTTCTCATTGGTTACTTCGAGGCCACATGACATCTAACAATGAAACTGTTTCCAAAATCTCTCACCACGGCCGTGAAACACCCCCTTTAATTCCTATCATAATAACACCAGAAAAATCAGTTAAAACGCAGCCACTCCGCGCTCACTTAACCATACTATAAATGGCCGAATACATGTAGTCTGTGGACAAAGACATGAGATGGTACATATAATACTACCGCACACACTGTGTTCGGTATGTGAATGTCCAAACCATCCTCTTTTTGTAATGCAACTGCGTGGGAGTATTTTGGAGTTTCGCTGCAGTAATAGCCTGCGAACTCTCCAATGGTCGCGAACTGATTTCCTAAAATAGAAGACTGCGATTTGTTCAATGCGATTTCTTGAGTGCACTTATTTTTAACTACTGATTGTTCAACCAAATAAGTACGTTTTCACTTTACAGGTACCCACTTATAATGTCCACAGTAGAAAAAGAATATAACATTTGATTAGATGCGTCTGCTCTCAAAAAAGCCGAAAAGATGACTGATTAAAACCATTTCGTCACAACGAAAGTATAGCATTGAGGTGGGTGTTGCATTCAGGCCCAGTCAAGGCAACGACAAAAACACGTTCTATGATATTTTAATTTCTTGTTTTCCCCTGGATTGAAGTTTGGTGGGTGCTTATAAATATCAGTTAATGGAGTAGACAACAGGGCACATATCATTGGAGAAAGATTCAGAGATACTTTGGCTTAAATGAAGTGAGATCTAGAACAACGCCAAAAACGTACACTGAGTCATGATTTTTCTTTTCTTTTTTGTTTCTTTTTACGCTTTGCTAACGAAGGGGGTCTAGTATTTTTCCGACACAGCTTTGGTTACCGAATTAAAGGATTAAGAACAAAAGGGGGCCTTGAATGAAAGTGCTCTGGATACACACTCCAGGAAATAGTGGCAGGAGTGTTCTTTAGTAAAAAGATAAAGCCCCAGGTGACTTTTATAACTTAGGATTAGCTTAAGACTTTTGATGTTGGCGCAGCCCTGGTGAACAACTGGTTGACAGTCATGCAATATTCGAAACTACTTGTAATTCCAGTATGCCTTCTTAAAGCAGCGCTTCCTTTTTTTTTTACAAATGTTTTGCAGTCCCCCCTACCCTCACCCTCTACAATATTGAAAGTCAAGAAAAATTGTGCATCGTCGGGTTTAAGGTTGTCTTGTGAGTTAGGGGAGGGGATGGGCATGAGTAATTTTTAAAAAAAGAAGAAGAATATGATAAATACTGTAACTATAGCCTATAAAATTACTACGAAATTAAAGTCACAAAACTCGTAGGCCTATGAGTACTTTTGCAATTCTTACCCTCTGACGGGCTCCATTCGTTCTTTTTCTCGAACAAGAATGCGCTTCTGTAGTCAAAGCCAAGATGATTACTAACGTAACACGTATACAGTCCCAAGTCGCTGACTGTGACGTTCGGTATGTTAACTTGGACCCCTTGCTTCCCTTGTACATAGACCGTTTGATACTGTACAGGATTGATAAGAGTGTAAGATCCATTGATAAAATCAAGTGAATTGGGGTAATTGTTGGAGATTGAATTCCACTTCACCCATCGAAAATCCGGTATCGTTCCACTGATGACTACAACGCATGTCATTGAGGCGTTTTGTCCAAGCTGCACGCTTGTGTTTTTCGGAGCTCCGCACTTGAGAATGGGCTTGGTCCGAGATTTTTCTGTAAAAGAAGAAAGAGCTTTAGTGTTAGGTACTTTATGGATTAGAGCCTTTATCCTGGGCTTGCGAACGTGTCGTGGTGGTTAAGCTTGCCTGTCTTAGTGAATCCAAAAGCTATGTCGGTGGGGGTCTTTACCCATGGTGGGCCACCAAGTCGGATTGGTCTAGGGTTATAATCAGACAGCCTTGGTTCGTCCTGGTTGGGGGTTTGGGGTAGGGCCAATCACCCCACACTGTTAAGATAAAAGAGATTACGGATACAGGAAATTACTTTCCTGCTCTAATATATACCCTACGCGGGGAAAAGTGTCTGATGATGATGATAATGATAAGGACTGGAACGGCCAAATCATGTAACTTGTCTGGAATGGCAGGTTTGACCGGCTTAGTAAATCAAATTTCAAGGATATACAAGATTGTAAGAAAGTGGCGCAACGTTGACTTAACAACCCGCTCTAGTTAGCAATCAATGTCGATTTTTTTTTTCCATGAAATGAATTCTACAGTAAAACTGTAAATACAGTAAAATGTGGGTGCCAAACGAAATGAATGATAGACGTGATCCTCAAAGTCTTTTAATTAACATTGCATTTCGGGAGCCCGGTAAAGCCTGATTTTTGTCCCCGGTTCTTATCAACGGAATTTAAGTTATCGTTTAGTGTCAGTTTTCTCTTAACGTCAGTACACATTCCCAAAAGACACTAAAGCTGACAAGAGTTTTCTCTGCCGTTGTTGAGTCATTTTCACCGATACAAGGGGTACCCAACGAGAATAAAGTTTAAAACCACTTAAACATAGCATTGTTGAACGTATTTTAGTATTTTAAAGGTAGATATATGGTTCGGATTTCCTAGCTGAAAGTCTAGTGATCAGAAAATTGTGGGCATCAAAACTTAACTTTCCGAAAATTTCAGGCAGAAAAACTCTCCCGAAAATTTAGAGTAAAAGTCCGTTAAAAATGGGCAATTATACCATTGTTTAGATATTCGAAAATCCTAGGAGAGGCAAGCAAACAAGAAATTTTACAACAAATGTTCCGAAAATTCTAGATCTCAAATCGTCTTCCGAACAGATATTTTCCAAAAATTGACGTTGGGTGCCCCTACGATACCCTTCAATGCGATCCGCAGAAGAAAATTACAGTACTGCACGAAAAAATTCCGCTAAAATACGACCACAACGATGGTATATGTTTATTGTGATACAGAAAGCGACTCCGTTTACATTCAACTGTAATTACAATGACCACGGCATTTTCGGATGTTGTTTGTCTGTACTTTGACCCAGATAAACGCATGAAGTTTGGAATGCAATGTAGTTTCCAAAAATCGCGAAACTTAATTTCCAGTAGGAAAAATCGCACTCAAGTCACTGCAACGAGCTGATAAATAAGTTCCCTCAAAGTACAAAAAATCGCCCATCCGCCTAATTAAACTCCAGCACCAATAAAGAGTCATACGGTAAGTGCTTACCCAAACGGGTTCCACCCTATAGAGTTGCAGAGTATCATTTACCATTTAAACGCCCATAAATTTAATTTTATCGAGCAGAAAACCACTGTTAAATGTGTCATTTGAGAGAAATTGTTAGACTTGTGTAATCCATCGATACTGAAATCTACAATTTTATCGAGGAGAACTATTACAGGTCGTCAAACTGAGTGTTTCGAAGAGTCTGTCAGGTAATCTTTTTGTTTTAAATTTTCCTTTGACAATGCAAGGTACGACAAACGCTTTTGAGGCCAACTGATTTAACTGAATTGCTACGATACGAATTAATAACGTACTTTTGCCGAGTCACTACTGGAAATCATACCTACAACTCGTAGCGTATAAGTGTGATTTATGGATCCAAAGGGATTTGACACAACGCAAGTGTATCTTCCTGAATCAACAGTCACCAAGTCTTTGAGCTTTAAGTACCACATGTTTGTCTTGAGCCTTGGTTGTAAACGTCTTTGTATTGAAGGAAGACCGTCCTTTAGCCATTGGTATCTTAACGGCTTTGAGCCATTAGCCTTGCACTTAAGTCGAATATTATGACTAGCTGGCCACGCAATGAACGTTTGCTGCATCCGGCCTGTATCCACAAATCTGGGAAAACCTGTGGCAAATTAAATGCGTAAGGAATTAAAGCTGATTGTGAAGGTACGTTTATGTAGATCCTTCAGCGGTTCACAGCTCAGAAAACCTATTTTTCCTTTGAAATCGGCAAGTGACCGTGGGGAAATTAAAAATTTCCGGATTTTACTATTTTGTTCTCTCCCCGAATGGGAGGCCTATAAGACGCTTTGGTAGTTTTGTGATCTAAATTCAGCAGTCGTGGAACTCAAACTTACATACAGAGAATATGATCGGTGGTTTAGTTTGTCAAGAAAGCTTAAAAGGGGAACTGACCCAGTAAACCTCAGTGGTCAGTTAGTGGTCAGTCAAAGGAAGTCAAGGAAACTTTACACATTCACTACAGCACGTAGTGACCAGTCTTACAAATTTGTTAAGATCAGGATCGAGGTACTTTTTGATAATTACAAAGGAGTCCTGTTTTTGAATAGAAAGCGTCTTTCTTCCAAATTCTCACTGCATAAGAAACTTTCATTCGACACTGAGTATTCGCCATCAATTTAATTCAGTGTAAAGGCTGAAAGGTGACCCCACTAAACTTGAGCGTCTTTTTTCCCAGCGTCAATGTTTTTAAAACTGACCGGTGATTTTTAAATCAGCTTTTTAATAAGCAGAATCAGGAATTTCCATTTCTTCATCATTTTTCACGCAGAAATTCCAAATCATTGTCACTAGCCGGGAACGTGGCAGTTGACATACCATCAAAGGTGGCACGAGTCCTATGTGATGACGATGCTGACGTGTAACCCTTCCGCGGCACATTGCCTGTTAAAGTAAAACAGGGAAAGGCCCATTTAAGTGTCTGTTTTGACCGACCCAGAAGAGTTAATGCTATCACACAAATTACCCTTAAATGGATCATCAGATGCCTTCACTGGATGCAGGCAAGACGTTTGACCTAGTTATTTTGCTAATGTTTTCATTTTTTATGGTTTTTATAGGTGATTGGATATTATTATTTGTTTTTTCCAAAACTGAATCAAGTAATTTGTATTCGATACCGATCATACAACCTGAATAAAGTTCTCCGAGGTATGCCTTTAAATTTAAGTCTGACTCTTGTAACTGTACTCAGGAAATAAAATGAAGGCTTCTTCTTGTTTCTCGTCAAAAAGAATTATCGGGGTTTAACTCCTAGCAATATTTATGGGATGAGAACTCTCATGTTAGTCATAACCCGTGATAATGAATAGCTCATCACAATTTGGAGCATTTTGGGCAAGTTTTCGAAGGCATTTTATTTTTATGCTTTCTCATCTTTTGGTTTACACCTCGGATGCGCCGTGAGCTTTAAAATGTCTCTTTTGGTCATCGCTGGTCTGCGTTTTGTATGATTGTTCTACAGTTGAAGCTCAGTCGGTACTTGAAAAATGTTTAAATGCTTCCAAACATCGCGAAACTCAGTAGACAACTACACATCAACTTCAAATTCTTTAATGTTATAATAAAAACCTTATTGGAAGCATATTGAACTTGTTCGATCATTACTGATCACACACAAACAGGCGGAGCTTAGCTTCCGGCCAGTGGTAATTGAATTTGCAAAGTATCTGTTAAGTCGCGTGCCAGCTATGATGTTTGTGGGCACGGGAGTGAGTGTGAATACCTGAGTAAGGCGGCTTAGACACGTGGCACGGCCAGTGTGGTTTTATTTCTTGGTCGGAAAAACCGTAACCAATAAAGCAACCGGACTGAAGATGGTATGGACTTGTAATTTGTCTTAGGAACATCAGTCTGATGTAAAGGGGTAGGGACCTTTTTCTTTGAAAAGGGGGAAAAGATTTCACCTGGCAAGCCACACCCAAAATTTGTTAAGTTTTTGTTCCAAGTGGCATACCCCCTTCCTTCTTCCTTTCTTCTGTGGCTTCATTTTATATAAACACGTTTTGAAGAAGAACACAGTGAAAATTATGTGGATGCGTTATTCTTTAAAACAACTGGATGTTCGCGATTCATGTGATCTAAACATTATTGTTTGATTCGACGACAGACCATACGGTATTGGATAGCTAATGCTGACAGGGTATGCATGAGCTATCTACTTCGAAGTATCTTTTACGGAAATTGAAGGAAAAGAACCTGGAAAAATTGAGATCATTTTAGTGTCGTTATAAGCGTAAATGCTCCCGTTTGCTATTCGTGTTGGGCTCTTTTATTTGGATTTTAAATTAAGAAATCATAACCAGGCAGGAAATGGAGAAATAGGCAACGATCTTGCATGCGAGCCTGTCAAGTTTCGTTACAAAAAATTCACGCCCCTTCTCATATGCTTCCCTGCTGATCAACTAAGATTCGTCTTTCCAGAGGTTATCTTTATTCTAGAACATTCTTCATTCCGAAAAAAACTGTAATATAAAATAGCCGATGGATAGGAATATTTGACTTGTTAACTTGTCGTTAGAACAACCTTTTGGAACTTGCTTACTTTTGACAACAATTATTTCATTTTCTAATTAAGAGAAACAGAAATCTATGCAAAAAGAACCCCATTGATAGTTCAGGATAAGACAGCCAGCTTAAAAGAGAAACGCAAAATGCGCGAGCACGTTTTTTCATATCTACTTCTTCGACTTGATGCTAACGGTCATATCTGTAATACTGTGTACACTTTGTGTGTATGCCAAGAAAACTAATTATTGCACCCGTGGTTCTTTTCGTTGAGTACTTATTTTTCGCTTACGACACTTATGAAGCAAAAGCAAGTATTTCACTTCATTGGCAGTTGAATCGTACGCACCTCCCTGGTACAATAAGGACCGAGATTAAGGGCATCCGCCTCATACCGCGTACCGTCGCCTGAGGGAGGGTATCTAAACATTACTCTTTTTCTTTCCACTGAGACCTAATTATCCAGAAAGTAAACACAAAATTATAAGAAATGTGAATTATTTATATCATACCTGCCTCATCTGTGACGATCTGCATAGTGAGAGATACTGCCGCAAATAAAACTCTCCAAACAGTGGCTTGACACATATTATAATGTACCTTTGATGCCAACTGGAGCACTTGATCTTTTCGGCAGCGATGTAGTGCCTTTTCCTTTTTAACCCGTTTACAGCTTGTTTGCGTTATAGTTTGGCACACTGTAGGCAAAAGTGTGAGGACTGATATCTTGCGCACTGGCGCCAGATGGCGGATCCTCGTGTTTTATCAGGAAGGAAGTTATCTGTATTACAAGCTCATTGCTTGATACAGAATGGTTAAGATCTCTCAACTTCCTCTTGCTTGACAAGGCCTTTCTTATTATAGATCAGTCTTGCATTAAAGCAGGCGGTTGTCGTAGACGAGGGATTTGAGAGGGATGTTCACGTTGCTTGCGTCAGCCCCCACGTATTGATGCGATCTTTCACAACCTCTAGGTTAAATATCAATGGTTGTAGTTACAAGCAGCAAATTAGACAAATAAGCTTATGTAGATAAACAAATAGTGTTTACACGGGCTTAACTTGTCTGCTTACCGTCTTTGCAAAACGGAAGTAAGTTTTGCAGTGTCTTTTAGTCAACTGTGAGGCCTTCTGCTGTGTGATAACTGGGAAGATTGGCTTGACTTTTTACACCTGATTTTGTTAAAAAAAAAAACATCGAACTGCTTTCCAATGGATCGCGCCCTTTGGAAACCCACTGAGAAATCGATTGGGCTTGGTTTGTAGTTCAGTTTGGAAGTCTGTGCCTCGCCTCGTCAGCTATCAGTACAGATCAATGATAAATGGCTGGTAACAGGATCTGCAGATGACCTCACTATTGAGCTGCAAAGAAGCTTTTCTGACCAAATTTTTTGGTTGCCCAGTGCTTGATCGATAAGGGAAATGTCAGAACAGAGGCTGTCAAGTTTATTTTTGACAGCACTCTCTTCACATGGCTAATTTTCTTCTTTGGCTTCAAGCGATGTAAATAAACGGAAACAATGTCCAAACAGCAAAGTTTCTTCTAAACGTCAAGAGTGCTTTCAGATAAAAAAATTAGTAATAATAATCTTTTGGCCTGACTGAAAAAGATTCGACGCATACGGGCATGAGCGAAAGAGTTTTCATTGCGCTACTTGGGTTCTCTCTAATTTTCCATCCTATGATCTGGGTGAGCATTTTTGGCTCGTCTCCCATTTTAAAGCCATTATTCTGTATCAAGACAGGTTTGTTTGTTATGAGCTATCATACCCAGATTTGTTTGCCACAGTTACATGGAATGAAAACTATTACTGATCCTGATGAAAGCGGGCGGGCGTTTTCAAGTGGACGAGCCCTCCAATTTAATGTGATCGCCTAGGCGAATTAAAAACGGCCGATGAGTCGTGTTTTTTCGTAGAGTAACCTATACACTAAGGCCTTCGAACTTGCAGTATCTTTTACCTAACCTTACATCCTGAAATGACTAGAAAGCTGTGGCTAGTCTGACCAATTGAACCTTGGTTGAAAATCTTAACTAGACTTGCTAGTATTCAAGACATTTTTAATTAAAATATTTCGCTTTTTTTAGTACTTGACCTTGTGTAAAGTGTTAGTCCAGTGACAGTATATTTAGAGCCCAATATATTTAGACTCTGTAGGTGATTCAGACACTCCTATGGCGTCCGAATTGATGAGTAAACACAACTAGGGTTAACAGAAAAGAAAATTAGATTAGTTCTATTGATGTCTTTTTCCCCATTTGGTAGTTTGCCACAGTGTCACAACCAGTTTCCTGCAGGCAAAGTTATAATTTAGTTTCATGTGGTTTTTTTTTGCATGCTGCGTCTTTACCAAATGGCAAAGGTTACAATTTAAGGCAACACAACTAGTCATAAAATGTATTTTTAGCCCTGTTTGCTACATTAGCGGCTTTTTTGAAATATAAACAGGGAGTAAGAAAGCTAATAATGATTAATAACCGAACCACCACATGGCCACAAAGTTTCAAAGGTCTCACTGATAACATACCTTTATTTTGATAGGGTGCCACAATTAGTATTTTTGCAATGTAGAAAACTGGTATCACTTATAATCAGTCATTATAAAAGCAAATTATAATTATCATAAAAAAAATCTCCCAGAATACTTTGAGGCAATTTTTTAAAAAGGCTTTATAACTGTGACAATTTTATATGCAGAAGACTGGCAGACCACAACAAGATAACATTTGCCATAAAATATTTTCCCATGTCACATCTAAGGTAATGACGTCATCAGTCACGTGACTATTCCCAAATTAGGTTTTTTTGTGGCTGTGACAAGATGTTATTAACGACTAGGCCGAGGGCTGTAGAGAGTCAACCTTTATATCACACGGCAGAGAAAATTTGCGGGAAAGTAATGTTCTACCTGATAATTTTTTCATGACCAAAAGAGTGACATGACGTCATCAGTCACGTGATCAAAACGTTTTGAATGTTTTAGTGTGTTTTTAAAGTATCTTTTTTGTCATAAATCAGTGGCAAGTTTTTGCTGTTTTTCTCAACAATTCTTTACACTGTATTGTCTCTGAGTACCGTATTTATTCGAATAAGCGCCCAACCTCGAATTAGCGCCCACCTCAAATAAGCGCCCATCCTAAAGGCAGAAAAAGTTGATAAGCGCCCAGCCTCGAATAAGCGCCCACCCCCTCCTCCTCCCAATCAAACTCAAATAAGCGCTCACCCCCACCCCACCCACTTGAGTGAATAAATTCTAATAAGAGACTTCCCCGAGGACGGAGTTTTCTTCAGAGTATTTTACAGAAACCTTGCATTGTTACTTCTTCGCGTTTTGTTAGTACCATTTATTGTTTTGTTGCAAAATAAACATACTTCACTTGCTGAAAGTGGTGAAAATTTAATAAGCGCCCAGCCTCGAATAAGCGCCCACCTCGAATGAGCGCCCACTCTCAAGGTCCAAAAATTTAATAAGCGCCCAGGGCGGTTAATCGAATAAATACGGTAACTATTATTCCATTTTCGAAGCAGAACCAAACGAAAACTGATCCAGAAGTTTAAAAGTTGCGTTAATTGAACGATATAAGTTAAAATCGAAAATGAGACCTACTCTTGAGACTTTTGTAAAATTCTTTTTCAACTTAACTGTTTGTTTGCCGAAATAAATGTTCAACGTTTGTTAATAAAGACTAAAAGGATGTGTTTGGTGGCCATATTGTTTTTCTTCATTCCCGGGGAGAGAGTTCATGTAGCAGCTCTTCTAACCCTAAAAGCCAAATGGTTTGCCTCCCTAACTAAAACAATGGAAATAATGATGAACAAAGTTGTGTTAATTTTTTCCCCGTCCGATCAAAAGACACCTTACGAGCAGGGAGAGAATCGTACGTTCGTACCGTTCAGTCGGTAGCCGCGCGATCGACAGTTCATAAATTTCTTAAACGTTCCTCGGCATGCGCCAAGCCTGAAAGAGTATTAATGGGTTTATTGTGAGCTTTAAGTCTACCTTCGATGAGTTAAAGATTTAATTCTGCGCGGAAAGTTTAAAAAAAAAAAAACGAAAAAGGCATCCTTGAAAACTGCCAATCACCATAGAGAAGGAGTACAAATCCCTTTTAAACTCACCTTGTAAGCGTTCACCGAGGTGGTCCAGTGGCTCTGGGGGTCCGGGTTCGAATACCTTTGAAGCAAAGTTTTCGTAACCTTTTTTTTTTCTTTTTTTAAAATCTCTTTTTTACTCTCTTTTTTACCTGTGTGGTGCGTATAGCTAGTAACATAATGTGGTACATTGAAAGCAAAGTTTACAGGAAAAATGCGTATGTATCATAGCCTATCTACCGGTATTTTTAGTAATACTGGAGACTGGCATCATTATTTACCCGGCTCAATCGTCGATTTTCCCATGAGCCTAATTTAATTCGTGAGGCCGCTTTGAGATGGGACGTCTCGACAGTTTCAAATTAATTACGACTTAGTCGAATCTGCCACTGAAACAGTCGAAAATTCGATTTTGATTTAGAAGCCGCATTTCACATGTGCCGAGTATGATGCATTAATTACTGAAACGTTATCCATATTGAATAAAACATTTTTCTGGAAACTGGGAACATTTACAACAAACAGATTTAAATTCGGTACCATCATATCCGACATCTGAATCAACTGCCGTATTTAATTACTTTCATCGACTAAAATAGGCGTTCGGCACTCATAACAAATTCCACGTTTGAAATGGGCCTAACATGACATAAGTTTCGGCTTAGTGGTTTGCAGGCTGTTATTAAGTAATTGTTTTTAGTAAGAGCAATTCGTATCTCTCTTTGTACATCCATTTTATTAATCGGCTTGTGCCGCGACTAATTAAGAATCAGCTGTAATCATTGATTTTACTTTCTCTTTGACAATGAATTGTATGTCACTGAACATGATTTGTATATCAAAAAGAGCGATCAATTTTCATCCATCTATTTCAATAAAAGCAAATGGAACCACTTCTCACTACAGCGGATAACCTCGAACCGTGGCTTCGTCGTTTGCAGCACCGACGAAAGACGAAAAAGCTAACCATTTTTGATCAAATAATTTTAAGGTTTAACTCGAAGCTTTATATAGTGTAAAATAATTATAATTTAGTTTACCGGTATCACTTGTAATAATAATAATAATAATAATAGTAATAATAATAATAATAATAATAATGACAATAGTAGCAATGATGATAATAATAACAAAGTAATAATTTAATGACTTATAGAGCACGAGTTAACGAATAAAAAGATCCCCACACGCGTATTACAATAATAGAATAATTGAAATAAAAAACTTAGCACAATGTTTTATCAACTGAAGTTTTGACTAGGCAGCATATCTGCACCAGTTGTGTAGTACGAAACTATATAGTATTAAGATGCCTGGTCAAATTTTCAGTTGATAAAACACTGTACTTCTGGCATTGTCGCTGTACACTCTTTTAATATCAGAATATATTTTATAAGAATATCGAGGCTGAAATTTGCGAAATTTTGAGAATCTTTTAAGAAAA